ATTCATTGCCTTTCCAAGTCCCGCCTTGGACCTCCCGCCGCCTTTTAGATATTTCCGCCCATGTCACATCCCCACCTCAGACTCGGCAGATTTAGAACTAAAACCATCAATTGCATTTTTCTCATAAAATACCAGCTACGTTTTCTAGCTTCTTCATTTCCAAACGGTGGCCGCTCCGGGTTGCCTGGCTGGGCCGCCCTCTCCCGCCGCCCCTGGAACAGTGAAGGTCCTAACTAGCCAGTGTTTAGGGTGTTTCCTGCATGTGGCACCGGCTGGGCCCTGCGCACGCGCTGACTCACTGCCTCCAGGCAGCCCTCCTGGGAGCCACTGTGCCTGCCTTCTCTTGTGTGAGACAGCCGCTCGCCTGGGCTCACAGGGCTGGGCATGGCAGAGCCGCAGCCTGGCGGGAGACCCCGCTCCAGGTCCCGCCTCTCTGAGCTGGCTTTCCCCCAGCCCGCCCACCGCCACCCAGTTTTCACTGTCGCTCCTGTGACCTGGCCCCTCTCTGACAGGTCACCTTGCAGGCCCCGCCGGCCTGATCTTCCTGCAGCGCCTCTTCCGCGTCTCCATTTCCCAGCCCTGACACTTTCTGGAAAACAGTCTGTTGAGATGCAGTTCACCCGTTCAAAGCGTGTAGTTCAGTGGGTTTTAGTCTACTCAGAGCTGTGCAGCCATCACCACGAGCCATTCTTTTTTTTTTTTTTTTTATCCTCACCCGAGGACATTTTTCCATTTTTTGCTCAGGTAGAGTGGGAGGGAGAGAGAGGAACAGAGAGAGAGAGAGAAACATCGATGCGAAAGGAACACATCGAGTGGCTGCCACCCGCACGACCAACCAGGGCCAGGGACAAACTGCAACCTAGGTACGCGCCCTTAGCGGGAATCGAACCCGGGTCTCTCAGGACCGCAGGCCGACTCTCTAACCGCTGAGCCAAACCGGCCAGGGCTCACGAGCCATTCTAAAACGCCCTCGTCACCCCCAAAGGAGCCACGTGCCCCTTAGCTGCCACCTCTGGTCTCCCCGTGTTCCCCAGCCCCTTGCAAACACTCATCTACCTTCTGTCTCGGTGGGTTTGCCTCTTCTGAAGATCTCGTATCAGTGGAATCATACGATTCGTGATCTTTCGGGTCTGGCTCATTTCACTCGGCACAATGTTTTCTTTTTTTTCTTTATTGAATTTAGAGGAAGGGAGAGGGAGAGAAAGAGAGAAACATCGATGAAAGAGAACATTGATTGGCCGCCTCCTGCATGCCCCCCACTGGGGATCGGACCCACAACCTGCGCATGTGCCCTGACCAGGAATCGAACCGGCGACCTCTTGGTGCATGGGTTGACGCTCAACCACTGAGCCACACCGGCCAGGTGGCCTGACGTTTTCAAGGTTCATTCCATGTAGTGTTTGTCAGAACTTCGTTTCTTTTCATCGCTGACTAATATTCCATCCCATGGCTAGACCACACGTTATTGGCGAGCCGTCAGTTGGTAGACATTTAGGATGTGACTGTTTTTGGCTATTGTGAACAGTGTAGCTGTGGACATCCGTGTACACGTTCATGTGTGGACATACGCTTCCATTTCTCTTGAAATGTGGCAGTAGAATTGCTGGGTCATCTGGTAGCTCTTGCACTGGTCGAGGTCAAGAACTTTTAATAGCTCCTCAGACTCCTCAGTCTCGTTCCCAAGGCCGTTGCCATCTGTCCTCGATTTCTGCTCTTGGCCACCTGCTGGCTGCTTCTGCCAGGCCAGGCGCTGCCGCCTGCACCCCGGCTGGGGCCTCTGCCCTCCGGCTCGTGCTGTTCGCTCAGCTCGGACGTGGCCCGGGGGCGCAGGCAGCCCAGCGGACACGTCTTTGAGACGCACAGCATTTTTAAAAAGCTGAACTATTCAAAAAGTAGCATTACACTTAAAAATCATGAGGTTACACTTAATCTAAATTTCATGTTCTCAAAAAAAAAAACCAACAACAGAAGATTTGGTCACCTTGGCACCACCTGTCCTGAGGAACAAAAACACTTCATCCCCCTACACTTCTGGCCCCGACCTTCGACCTAGTCCTTCCAGGACCCAGCTCAGCTCGCTGCTCGGACACTGCTCGTCTCTGGAAGCCCCAGCGCTCGTGCCACTGAACGCCACTCCGAGCGACTGTCTGTTGTGTGGTGGTCTCAGCGGGAGTGCAGGACGTTGGAAGGGAGGTATTTCGGTGGCAAGAATTGCAGGTGCTGGGGCCGACGGCCTGGGTTCGAACCTTAACCAGCTGTGTGTGTATTGGGCAAGTTATCTGGCTTCTCTGAACCCCAGTTTCCTTGTATTTTAAAATAGGGGTCACAGTGGGACCTCCTTACGTATCGTTATTGTGAGCAGTAAGCGGACTGTAGTACGTACCTTGTTACTGCCATTGTCTCTTTCCTGATGTCTTCCGTACAGTGTTGTAAGAACTTTGGAGATCAGAACCCCGTGGGGCTGGGGGAGCCCGGCCATTTTTTCTCAGGGAGGGGGGGCACTTTGAGCATCTGGGCTGGACAGTGGGGCTGGATTGTCCTGCACGCCCAGGGTTGGCACTCTGGTCAGGGATGTGGGCTCTGGTTGAGAATAAGAGTCAGAACTACCACCGGGGACAAGGGGCCCTCCCTGCAGGCAGGCTCCTGGCTTCGTTTCTTGCTTCACAACACTGGACTACCACCAGGCGCGGCACACCTGGCTGGATCCACAGCAGGCTGTTCCGTTGCCCACGGCCCGGTCTGGCTTGCCATCCAGCCAGTCTGAGCTGCACTGCGAGCCTGGTCCGGGCAGGTGGCTCAGGACCTCGCGGAGGCCCCGGGGTGTCCGCTGTAGAGCAGTGTGTGTGTTTGAGTTGGATATCGACTCGATAAGAAAGAATGTTTACAAAATATACGTAAGATCTACAGGATTGCGGTATAACAAATGCCAGGTACCTACCGGCTCGCTTTTTAAAAAGAGCTTTATGGTCTCCTGGTTCCCTCCCCAAGTTCTGTCCCATGGCCTCTCCTTCACTCTTCCAAACTGTGGGTAGATGACTCCCCGCTTCTCTCCTCTCCTCGTTAACGATGCATGTGGAGTTCTGAAGGGGTCATGCTGTGTGCCTGAGGAGGTGGTTCTGTCGCTCTCTCCTGAACTTGGAGTGATCTCAGCTCCGACTTCTCATGACGAACTCTTCCCAGCTGTTTCTGACACAGAACGCCCATCGGTCTCGTTTCTAATTTCCAGTGATATTCCTCCTTTGTTGAAGTTCTGTTTTCCTGGCCATTCCCATCCTATTTTCAGCATTAATTTTTATTTTCTGGAAGCATCGATGTTTCTTTCTGTCGACATGTTTGGGATTGATCCATGACGGCGCGTGTACACTTGTTTTCTCTGCTGGGTGTGTCCCGTGGTTGACGCTGGCCCTCCGCCAGGCGCCGGGATGCAGCAGCGAGCAGAGGGGACAGGGGACAGGCCACCGGCACTGAGGCAGGCGGGGCCCCCAGGAGGGTGGGCCAGAGGTCAGTGACCTCCGGAGGTGGACGGGTGGAGTCGCCAGCTGCAGGCACCAGTCCGCACAGACGGTGCTCTCGAAGCTGATTCGTGGTTGCCCTCCTGCCACGATGCCAGGCCTCCGTGTGTCAGGCTGTGGACGCGGAATAGGAGCCACGTCACCGGAGCAGTTGTGCACTCGAACCCTCAGCTTTAAGACTGTCAGGTTATATGCACTCGAGTCCCTGATGGTCAGCTCACTCGGAGCTCTGCGGGAGAGGGTCGAGCGTGGTGTGTATTTTACCCGCTCCTGACTTGGGCTGCACTGGCCGTGGGCATCTGACCCTTCCCTCTTGTGTAGAGCGGCACAGCCATGTGGCTGCCGTGCAGGGTCTGTGTGCGAACAGGAGGGGCACGTGGAACGTGCCCACACTGTGCCAGGCCGCAGTCGGCATCGGGTTGTCATGCCCGCTGTGCTCGGGGTTCTGTGTTGTTCCCCTTTACCTTCAGTGTCCACCTGCCAACTTGGCGTCTCCTCCGGGATGTCCTAAGCTGACATACACCTGAAATGGAACTCATGATTCCCCTCCATCCAGCGGCCCCCCCGTCTCCCCATCTCGGCAGATGTCACCACTGCCTGCCCCGTGCTTAGGCCCTGATTCTGGGAGTTGCCTTTGGTTCCTCCTTTTTGCTCAGCTAGTCCAGTTGGCCGACTGGAATGAATCGTCCACCCCTCCTGTACGGCCACTAAAGCCTCCTCCTCGGTCCCCCCGCTTCTGCAGCCGTTCCCCGCGGCAGGCAGACCTGTGCCGAGCACACACCAGGCCACCCTTTCCTGCTGGGGACTCCCGCTGGCTTTCCGGGAACCTAGAAGCAAGTCCAGCCTCCTTCCCGGGCCCCAGGCCCCTGCCCTCCCGTGTCCTCCCTCTGGCTCACCTGGACCCCTAGCCAGCTAAGCTCCATCCTGCCTCAGGGCTCTGCTTCCGAAATGCCCTCTCCCTGGCTTCCCGCAGGGCTGACTTCAGATCTCAGAGGGGCCTCCCATTACCCCGTCACAACCTGTCTACAATTTCTTCATTGACCCACTTCTTTCTCCCTCCCGTCTTCCCTCCCTGTTGCCGAGGGCAAGGACCTCCCTGTCTGTGTCCTTGGTGCCTGCGTGTTGCCTGGCACATTGGTGCACTTGGCAGTGGTGGCAGTTGTCAGCCCCACTGATTGGCAGGAGGCAGAAACAGACACTGGGATGTCACTCGCTAGTAAGCGGCCCTCCGACCCCAGAGCCCCGCCCCCTCTAGGGTGCCCAGGGAGGGGCGGGGGCGGGGCCAGAGGCCAGCCAAGTATCGGTAAGTGCAGTCTGGCTTTTTCTGGGACCAGCTCCTTCTTCCTTCTCTTGTCGAGGTTTTCTGCATAAACCATTTTTGCAGGCTTTCTGGACTGGGCAATGAGGACAGGGTCTCGGCGCCCTCGGGAAGTCGGATGTGTTGCCCACTCTTCATGGCCTCCCCCTCCCTCTCCTCCTCCCGCTCAGGTCGCACCAGCTTCTATGAGAAGTACGGTGTCATTCGCGACGTCCTGCAGAACCACCTGACGGAGATCCTCACGCTGGTGGCCATGGAGCTGCCCCACGTCAACAGCTCGGCGGCCGTGCTGCAGCGCAAGCTGCAGGTGTTCCAGGCGCTGCGGGGCCTGCGGAGGGCCAGCGCCGTGGTGGGCCAGTACCAGGCCTACAGCGCGCAGGTGCGCCGGGAGCTGCACAAGCCCGACGCCTTCCGCAGCCTGACGCCGACCTTCGCAGGTGGGCTCTGGGGCCGGCGGGCTGCCCCGCTGGGAGCAGCGTCCAAGCCGATGGCCTTTCGTTTGGGCTGCCAGGGTCTGGAAGGGGATTTTCTCTCTCTGGCCATCCACCAGCTTAAAGTAGCGGGTCACCTGCTGGCTCCCTCTGGGTGAAGGACACCCCAGAACAGTCTCAGTCCAGTCCCTGTCCACTGGGCTCGGACCTGGCTCCCACCCTCGTGGAGCCTACATCCAGCCCCCCTGCCCCCCACGAGGCTGGAAGCCTGTCCGGCCGCAGCCCGAGGCACCTCCAGTGGGCAAGTACCAGGCTGGTCAGGCGGGCGCCCCTGGAGCCATCCTCGGGGCAGTCCCCAGGCTCCAGCTGCCTGGACAGGGTGGCTCCCTCAGGCTGAGGATGAGAGCTGCGGGCCGGGCACCCCCTGTGCGCCAGGCACTGCACGCACACCGCCCCATTCGGCCCTCGCATGCACACTCCTGAGGCGGGTAGGGTCACTGTCCCTATTTGAAGGGAAGGAGCCGAGAGCTCAGGCAGGTGGAAAAGCTTGCCCGAGGGCCGGCAGAGGTCGTTCAGGGGGAGGGGCTTGGGACTGGAGTCAGGAGTGTGCTGGGGGGGCGGGGCGTCTGGCCCTTAGCAACCCAACCCCCGCACCGGGCCTCAGTCCTCCTGACCTGCACCCCTCCCCTTCGGTACCTGACCTTGCTTCCGGCCTGTCCTGAGCCCCACACAGCCCAGGTTTCCCCACCATGAGACTCCTTAGAGGCTCCGGGTCGGAGACAGCCCAGTTCTCCCTCCTTGGGGACGGAGTCCCACAGAGGTGGGGGTCGGTGGTGGTCCTGGGCTGCTTCCGAGCACCGCTGGGGGGAAGATGCTGAGGGGATGGAAGGTGGGGTGAGTCTAACAAGGCCAGGGGTGTCTCAGGGCAGTGGGTGCCAGAGGAGGGGCTGGGGAGAAGGGCTGGCTGGCAGGAAGGTGGGAGGGGACAAGCGAGGGGGCGGGGATGCCCCGGTGTCCCTGTGCTGGGGCGTCACCTCCACTGTCCCCTTGTCGCCTCAGGCATCCTCGTCCACGTGGACAACCTGCGCTGGGAGGGCGTCCCGTTCGTCCTGATGTCGGGCAAAGCCTTGGACGAGAGAGTGGGGTACGTCCGGGTCCTGTTCAAGAACCGGGCCTGCTGCGCCCAGAGCGAGCAGCACTGGCTCGGGGAGCAGAGCCGCTGCCTGCCCCGGCAGGTCATCTTCCACATCGGCCACGGCGAGCTGGGCAGCCCTGCCCTGCTGGTGAGCCGGAACCTGTTCCGGCCCGCGCTGCCCAGCGGCTGGCAGGAGGCGGAGGGCCCGCCCGGGCTCCGCCTGTTCGGCGGCCCTCTGTCGGACTACTACGCCTACCGCCCCGTGCGCGAGCAGGACGCCTACTCCCTCCTCGTGTCGCGCATCTTCCACGGCCGCAGGGACTCCTTCATCACCACCGAGAACCTGCTGGCCTCCTGGGCCTTCTGGACCCCCTTGCTGGACAGCCTGGCCCACGAGGCCCCACGCCCCTACCCAGGAGGAGCTGAGAACGGGCACCTGTTGGACTTTGAGTTCAGCGGCAACCAGTTAGCCTTTTCTGTGCCGCAGCCGGAGCAGCTGGTGCCAGGGCCAGCTTCCGCTCTGACGCCCAGTGACTTCCAGCTTCTCAGGACCAAGTACCGAGACAGCCCCCTGGTCACGGCCTGGCCCGAGGAGCTGATCGAGAAGCTGGCCAGCGACATCGAGGCCGCAGCTGTGAAGGCCGTGCGGCACTTTGGCCGGTTCCACCTGGCGCTCTCGGGCGGCTCCAGCCCGGTAGCCCTGTTCCAGGAGTTGGCCACAGGGCACTACAGCTTCCCCTGGGCCCACACACACCTGTGGCTGGTGGACGAGCGCTGTGTCCCGCTCTGGGACCCGGAGTCCAACTTCCAGGGCCTGCAGACTCACCTGCTGCAGCACGTCAGGGTCCCCTACTACAACATCCACCCCATGCCTGTGCACCAGCACCAACGGCTCTGCGCGGAGGAGGACCGGGGCGCCCAGGTCTATGCTGAGGAGATCTCAGCCCTGGTCACCAACAGCAGCTTTGACCTGGTGCTGCTGGGCATGGGCACCGACGGGCACACGGCCTCCCTCTTCCCGCAGTCGCCCACCGGCCTGGACGGCAAGCAGCTGGTAGTCCTGACGGAGAGCCCCGCCCGTCCACACCACCGCATGAGCCTCAGCCTGCCCCTCATCAACCGTGCCAGGAAGGTGGCGGTCCTGGTCATGGGCAGGATGAAGCGTGAGATCACCCTGCTGGTGAGCCGCGTCGGGCACGAGCCCAAGAAGTGGCCCATCTCTGGCGTCCTGCCCGATTCCGGCCAGCTGGTATGGTACATGGACTACGAGGCGTTTCTGGGATGATGCTGCTCACCCCCGTGCTGTCCTTCACCTGCCCCCCCCCCCCGATTCCTGCCACCTGCCCATGCACCCTGGCTCTCTGGAATCTGATGCCTCAGGCCAGGCCCCTGGAGAGGCCCCACCCCAGTCCCTTGGACAGTCCCCATCCAGTTGTGGTCACAGACACAGAAACAAGGAAGAAATGGAGGCCCACGAGAAGCTTCAAGTCCACGTTCGGAGAGACACATCCACTGAAATGGGAGACCCACAGCGGCCGCACGTTAACATTAGCCAGCACAGAACAGACCAGCGGGGGAGCCCCCAGCTCCAGCAGGCGTGCAGTGGGCCGAGGGGGGTGTCCTGGAGGAGGGGGCCTTTGAGCTGGCTCCCGTGGAGAGGGGCGTGGGCAGCAGAGGGAAGGGGGCACCGGCATCGGGCGGGTGCAGGGTGCTGGGAACTGTCCGGAGCACCCGGGCTGGTGCAGCCCCTGCTTCCTGAGTCTCTTGACGTTCAACCTTCTGGCCTGTCCCCTGCGTGGCTGCCTCCACCTGCTCGGTGTGTCTGGTTCCTTCCTCCTCCTCCGTCCCAACTGTGAGAGGTCTTCCCATCCCTCCTCTGTATCTTGCCTGTCCCCCAGACTCTCCATTTACAGACAGAGGAAGGGTGACGACAGTAACACAGCCACAGATACTGGGATGCTACGACGGTGCCAGAAACCTTGTGGCTGTCGTTTGGAGCCCTTCCTCAGTAGTGGAACTCTCTGCGTGGGGGGGGGGGCGCTGGGGCCCCAGCTCCCCAGGGAGGACCCCATCCCTGCCCGAGTGCTTCTCCATGAAGCACGCTGGGCACAGATGATCAGGCCATTCCAGAGTTCCCTCCTTCACGAGGGCCCTTTACATCTCGGGCACCTCCCAGCAGGTGTTTCTACTCTCAGTATCCTCTCGTTCTACCAGGAAAGAGCCAGTCAAATCTTTCTTTGCCGGTGGCACCTCATTTGAGGGGCAGAGATGTGACGTGGAGTGATGAACCATCCAGACGCCCTGATCTGACCCGACAGGAGCCCGGCCTTCTGGTGGGTGGGCAGGGCTCCCGGCAGCAGCGGCTGCAGCCCACCCTTCTCACACTACCTCTCGGTGGCGCCCAGCCTGCCCGCTTCCTACCTGCTGGTCCCTCCTGCCCCCTCTCCTCACTGACACGCTGCCGGAGTCGCGGGGAGCAAACCGGCAGCTTCTCCCTCCGAGCAGGCCGGGCGCTCTGCTCCTGAAGCACGGGCCAGCAGTACCTGTTTTCCCGAAACCCCTGCGAGGGTATCTCGGAAATGCTTTTTAAAGAAGTCAAAATTGTCAGGACACAATTTTCTTTGTTTTATCCTCACCCGAGGACATTTTTCCATTTTGTTCAGATAGAGTGAGAGGGAGAGAGAGAGAGAAAAACATCGACGCGAAAGGGACATATTGATTGGTTGCCACCTGCACAACCTCAAGTGGGGCCGGGGATGAATTGCAACTGAGGTGTGTACCCTTGGCCTGAATCGAACCCAGGACTTTTTGGTCCAAGGGCTACACTTACCGCTGAGCCATACCGGCCAGGGCAGGACACACGTAATTGTGATTTCAGCGTCCCGCTTAACCATGCCCCAAGCTCTGACTGTCAAGGAATACGAATTTTCTGTGGGGCTGTACCACCCCCCACAGCCACACTGTGGGAGGCAGACAGACTGTCAGACAGGTGTGGCGTGTCCCTGTCACACGGAGGGCTTTCCTTGGTGAGCGGCGTCACAAAGTCTCTCTCTCTGCTTTTGATTGTTCAGACTTTCTTCGCGGCTACGGATTGTTGCTCTCATTTCAGATGGGTGCCCGAGCCAGGGGCGCTCTTGTTAAAATTCTGCTTCCCCTGGCCTCCAGTGACATGGTCCAGACAGGACAGCTCTCTTTGTACCGAGAGAGCTGACCTTGGCGGAGCAGAACCACAGTTCCGGGGTGGGGAGGTCTCCCTCTTGGGGGGGTCTGCATTTTGGCTTTTTTGCTCTAGAGACACTGGTGGACATAGGTGGTTGCTGGTCGAGTGCCACCTCTGGCCACGTGGGGGCGCTCGCGCACCATCCCGACCGGGATTTATTTATTATTATTTTTTTTTTGGTGGGCTGCTGGTCTGACTTGGAGGAATTCCCCCCTGTTGTATTTGCATTTTGTATTCTGCCTCCCTGGGCCCTTGGCCCTGACCTGTTCTTTGGGAATGTCTTCCTCTGGTTGCAACACCAGAGAGAAAGCGACCTCCACATACCCGAGTCTCGTCCCGGACAAAGGGTGAGCCGTCATCATTTCTGAATAATAGTGAGTCACTGCGGGCCTGAGCCTAGGATGTCCTGTCCTTAGAGGATTGCCTTCCCTCAAAATGCACCCTTTATCTGTGGAGAGTTTGCATGTGGGGGTGGGGAGGAGGCGGACAATGCCAGAGGTTTTCTTTCCAGAACCAAGTGCTGTCTTGACAGTCCACGGGGAGACATCAGCATTCACTTCCACCTCTCCCTGTTCCCTTCCCCTCCTTGCCCCGTGCCCGGAAGGAGAGATGCTCAGACCCAGCCACCTAGGTCGGTGCTTTGCAAACTGGACCATGCACCACAGCAAGAAGCACTTGACGTCAGGAGTCCTGCAGAAATCTGTCTCAAGCACAAGCGTTGCAAAGCAAGTCCTGCCCTGAGAACGTGGGGTGCCCAGTGTTTCCTATTTTTCCTTAAGAAAATGCGGCTTGTAATCCACTAACTTGTGTCGATGCAGTTGGGTGCTGCCGTAACCCAGCTGTACCCCATCCCACAAGCCGGGGATCCAGGCTTGGGAGGGAGCGCGCCTGCCAACCACACCGGGACTGGCTCCCCCAGCCCAGCGAGGCTGCCCAGGCCCAGAGCGGGAGCTGCTTCAGCCCGGGTGATGGGATGCCCGGCCTCCGTCACGAGGGAGGGTGAGCAGTGGGTGATGCAGGTGCCCTAAGCAGAAGCCGGGGGTGACTGTGACGTAACCCCTAAGTCCCAGGCTGGATCCTGAACATTCTGCGCAACGTGGTCACGTCCGATCCTTTCAGCAGCCGTGCAAGGTACCGATGATTTTGAAACGAGTCTAACGACAACAGGCCGGCCGCCCTAAGCTAAGCGTCGGGGCCAGGTCTTCAGGATTCTAGACGTGGCCTCCCGGCCACCCTGTGGTGCCGCCCTCCCAGGGAGTCCTGTAAAGGCTCCGGGGCCCCTCTGGGGGCCTCGTCCAGTTGGCATCTCCAGCGCTGGCCTTATTCCCACGTGTTGTCGGGAAGTCAGCGAGGGACTTTCCAGGTTGCTGTAAGCTAGAATCTGATTTTGATCTGGGAGCAAAGTTTTTGCAAACCGCAAGTTAAAATAGCCCGCCTTGTTGATCTTCCCTGCTCCCTATTCTCTGCAGACGACGCTCTATTCCCAGTCGCAGCCTCCGCGTAGCAGCACCATCAAAGCTTTCTGCCCCGGGGACTAATGTTTCAGAGTGCTCCCTGGGGGTGTCGTTCCAGACCGCACAGGCCGGTCCCCCTGGTCTGGGAGCTGTCCTGCTCTGCTCTGCTCCGTCCTCTCCCCCAGGGACAGTGTCACAGAAAGGAAGGGAGGACCTTCCATCAAACCTCTCCTACAGTTTAGTTTTCAGAAACAAGAATTTTTTTTCAGCGGAAGTTCACACGGCCACACGTAAGCAGCCTCTGCCTCGGCCTTGCCCACCTATGCTTCTGCCTTGGGCAGCCAGGGCCCCACAGACCCTTGTCCACCAGCAGAGAAGCTGCCCGCAGCACGTCAGAATGAGCAAGTCAGGAAAAGCCGGTGGGGACACAGGGCAAGGTGGCCATGTGACAGGCCAACGGGATCGGCACCCGCAGGCCCCGAAAGACTCCAGAGGGGCCAAGGGCCTGGCGCGGGCTGCTGCCTCCCGATGTCACCAGGCCATGTGGCCCACAAAGGCCGGTCCCCTGGCCATCCACTGGCTGGAGTGAAGAGGGTGGGCTGCTGTGTCCCCCTCCCTCCCCACCGCCCCTGCAGCCTGGCCGCAGCGGGGCAGGTGTGCTTGAGGTGCTGCTGACTTTTTCCAGGTGACGTTTCCATGAGACGGAGGGCACCCTCCTGGTTCTGCACCTGGAAGATCGGGGTGAGGGCAGGTGCCAGCAGGGCCTCCCCTGGGTCCAAGGGCTGTTACTGCCCACCTGTGCCTTGTTTATACCTGGGAAGGCCAACTTGGTGCAATACTTAAGGGGCAGTTGCCAGCAAGACACCTGGAGGGGCGTGTGGGCACTGAAGTCAGGACACGCTGGGTCTGGATCATGGCCCCGCGCTCCCTGTCCTGTGCTGGGAAGTGGCCCTGGGCTCCCGTGGGCGGGCGAGGAGGCGACAGCGGGAACTCCCTGGGCGGTGGGCAGACAGGGTGTGGGGCGGCGAGGCTGTGCGTTCGTTCTGGGGAGAGAACGGCCCCTGGTTTTTATAGGAATGCTGGACACTTAAAGATGCTTCGAATAATGAGACACATCCAGAGATTTTAAAATGACTTTTTCTATATCAGATACAATGTTTATTTTTTAAACAAATCGTTTTGCCAAAATGCGTGCCTGCCTTCTTTCTGTGGGAGACCGAGTGTGGCGGGCCGTGGGCCTTGTCCCCGCCGCGTGTGTTCTCGGAGGAGGGGAGGCAGAGGAAGTCCCGGAGCGGGGGCTCGGCCCACTGCGGACACAGCACGTCCGAGCCAAGCGGCTTCGCTCCATCGCACAGGGTGGCTGGCCTGGGTGGCCGCGGCCAAGGTGAGCGATCTCACGGGCCCCCCAGTCTTCCTGGCAGCCCAGGGGGTGGGAAGGACATCCCCTGAGGGAAGGCACTGTGGCACCTGCGAGGGAGGGAGCATCTCGAAGCAGCAGGACCGGTGCCTTTGCTGGTCTTGTCCTGTTCTTCGCTTGACCTTCCCCTCCACCCGGTGTCACCTTCCCAGGAGTGTAAGGGTCGTGGGCAGACGAAGCTGCAGAACTGGCGGGAGTATGAGAGCCGGACACAGTGAGCATCCAGAGGGTGGGCTCCCGGGGACCCAGAGGCACAGGCGACAGACACACGCCGGAGCCCAGGGGAAGGGGAAGGTCCCGGGGACAGTGATGAAGGCTGGACACCGGAGTCGGCAGTTGTGGTCCTGGCTTGTGCCTCGGCCTGGGAAGCACACGGAGAAGGCGCTTCCCGGGGGAGGTAGCCAGGGCTGGGACAAATGCGTGTCCTGATGGGCACTGGCTGTGCTGTTCCCATGGAAACAGTCAGGTGGGCTCACTGCCTCCCAAGACCTGAGGCTGTGAGGGCTGCCCCGAGGGTCCCCGTTCCAACCTTTGGGGAA